TCTTTCCCTCTCTGGGCGATCTTTTCTTCAATATCTCTTTTTCTTTTTCTCTCAATATACCTCTCTGCCTAGCCTGTGGAACGACACCCAGAAGCCTGCGCATCCTGTTCCCGCCCGATCCAACAACATGAGGGACATCGACCACGATAAACAAAAATGGCACAATATAGAGAACTGATATACATATATATATGTATGTACCTTAAGATCTTTGAGACTTTCCAACATGTGGAACTCATTGACAACAGCAACTCATCATGTTCTTCTTTTGAATGAAATTGCATGAAAACGTCAAAACGCCGGCACAGCGCTTTCTATTCTGGAGACAGGTCGTTCTCGAAAGGATTTTGGTACAGCAAGTTTCTTTCTAGTATGAATTCCTTTCTATGATTCCTCTCGTCAAGCCTGCAAAAACAATACACATGCTTCTAGCACCAGAAAGAACATATAACTCACCACCTCGAAACAATATAAAAACACGATCAGCATATGCTGAATGCAAATAAAATTTTGAATTCCCATCTAATCAAATAGGACGGATATAATCACATAATACTAATGTATTTGCCTAGCAATCTAGATATAACCATTAGGATAGGACCTAGGTTAGCGGTAGAAAATAACGGAACCCTTATGAAGTGGGAAGTATGAAATTCAGAAGAAAGGCCTGCCACATAAATCAAGAAACCATACAGCTGACAACAATATAAATCTTCAACCGAAGTAGCACATACCTCTCTTGACTTCAGTCCATCCTTCTGCCACAGCCTGGAGCTTTTTCCTGTTCTTCCCAGCTACATGCGCCATGTCCTGGGAAATTAAACATGCTTCTTAGACTCTTAGTTCAGTCGATTCCCTAAGGTTTGGAATATTATAGCAGATGGCTGATATAAGTGGAGGCATACTGGAAGAGGGAAAAACAGCGAGTTCAAATAAATGTTTCTGCAGTGCTCAAGGCACTGTCTTTACTCTTTGTCCCCAAGCCATAAATTTCAAGCAAGCCCCTGAATTCCGAAATGAAAGGAAGAATTCCCAGAAGCAAATGATCAGTCGGCCCAAAAAACTAAAATGTTCAGCTGCAAACAGAAATCATAAGCAATGTATCAGTAAAATATCAAGAAAGGATAACTGGAACACCTCAAGGAGAAGCATTTCATCATCTGCACTCCAGTCAGGGCATAAAAGCAGGAACTTTAAGTTCCCCTAAAAAACAACAGAGAAACCACATGCAGCTGGTCAAGCTTTTCATATTAGACATTGACATGAACAACATTCAGCTGATTCCGAAAGATACATTCACAGAGCCCGATCACAAAAAGTACAGAAAAAACGACACTTTCTCATGGAAACAGGCTTTTTGCAAGATAAATGGCAAGCAACGTGAATGCTAAAAGGTAGACTAAGTTACTAACCATTACTTGGTAGGGGTGATCGCCTTTGTGAGGCGTAACCCCTGCTCCAGCGGACATGCATTCTATACAGAGATCAAAATCAGGACACACAACACAGTTTATCCTGATCCTTCCTGTATTGTCCTTCTGGCAGTAGTCACAGTTGTATTTGCCTCCTCCGGTCCTCTCTCAGCACCTTCAGCGGCCTCCACAAGAAAACAATAAACAAATGAAAGATATGAACCACCGGCAAGAGAGCAAAAGGGCTTAAAGAGAATTGTACCCCTAGAAGTAGACTCAAAGTTCTCCACGTTAGATACATTTTTCTTCTGCCTCCTTCCTTCTGTATTTATACCATCAAACGCTTAGCTTTTACAATTACGCTGAAGGCGAGAGGATATTAACACAGATGAACAGATGGAAACCATAGCTAGTGAAAGTTTTCCTGGGTCAAAAATTTGAAGTGATACACGCAGAGTAAACTCGAGTTACGCCCAAAATCGACCATTACAAGCAATGCAGATTCAAAGAACGTTACAGTTCAGTTCCCTGGTGTAGCCGAAATAGAATCCAGACGACCCATGTTGATAAAACGCAATCTTTCTAAATTCTATCGACAAAGCGGAGGACACGCATTCACTAAAAGCGAATATGAACTGAGAAAAAAAAATAAGAGAACTTAATGATTAAAAAAAGGATCAAACCTCTGGGTAGGATTAGGATCTTCGTAATTGTGGAAGTTACCGCGAGACCGACCCATCGATGCTGAAGCAAACCCAAGTCGGATGAAATTGGTCCCAGTGGTGTGGTTCAAAAGCTCTTCAAAGGTCGAAGCGGAGAAGCTCCAATTCACGAAACGAAAGGATGAACCCAGAACTGGTGATTCAACCAGAAGGTCGCCTCGCTGGAGAAGAAAAACATGAAATCGGAGGGTGAAGGGTTTCGCTAAGACGATCATATAAGACCTTGTAAGCTGTGATTATAATTCTTCAGAACTCAGTCGAGAGTTTCAGGCTCGACATGTAAGAACCGACGATCGGGTCGTTCGGACCGAAAGCAACCAAATTATGGGGACTTTCATGGAGACGGACAACGGGCGAATCCCAAAACGGTTCACATCAATCTTGGGCAACCACTGGGCTTTGTCAAGAGTTGTAATGGGCCGACGCGATTCTAGGGTTTTCACGAGTTTAACAATATCCCCCCTGCCCGCCGTCACATTTCGGGTATATAAACACCCTCTCACCCAACAACAACATCTCGAATGTGATTTCGTCGTTTCCTTCATCTTTCGTCCTGTGTTTTCTCTTACTTTTACGAGTTTCATTCGATCTTCTCTTTCGGTTTTCTGCTTTTAAAGTCTCTTTCCAAAGATTCGTACGTTGACGTGTGATTTCTCTCCAAGAAATCGGATACTATTCGAAAAAGGGGCAACCGGAGAAAAAAAAAAGAATGGTTGCATAACCCTACGAGTAAACGTCACACAGCAAAAGGCCGATGAAGGCGTTGACGGAGCCTCTCTCTCGAAGGGAGGCTTCTCCGTTGGAGGTCGATCGGGGGTCTCATATTCCATCGCCTTATGTAGCAGCGTCGTTGCCTTTACCATCTGGGACTGGCCATGAGACCTATACTTACACGCACATATGCATGTATATATACATCTCCCATGCTTGTTTGTTTGGCCATTGATGAAATCTATATCTCATAAAACACCATCTTTCGGGACTGAATGGCTTTTCCTTTAAAGCCTTGCTGTTAATTCTGCAATTCTGAGGCCATTCTCAATTCTTTATTTTTTTTCTTCTTCTTCGAACTGAAAGATTTTAAGCGTTAGCGCATGTCGGAAATAATAATAATTCAATTTTGAACTCAACGGATTAAATCGAATAATATTCGGTTTTAATTTGAATACATGTAATGAAATAAAATGTCCGAAGATTGTCATCCTCGATCAGCGAAAATGACGACTCGTGGGCTTGAAACGTGTAGGGCCTTACTTATATCATTAATGGGCTTTTTTCGTACGCTTCTTAGTCGGTCACATGTACCTAGGTTGGATCTCGTAAACCGTTACTGGGCCTTTTTTACCATATTTTATTTATTGTTAACTATATATATATATATATATATTGGACGCAAAAAGATCATTATTGGGCCTCTTCAACCGTTATTGGGCACCACATATATTAATTATAATTATCCGCAATATGGGCGCTGAAAAAGTGTGCTTTTTTTCTTTCACATGAATTGTTTGACCACATTTGGACACAAACGGATGCCTTTGACTTTAATGAAATGCATATTGTATAATTAATGGTTAGAAAAGGAATTAATTCCGCATAAGCATATGGCCAACATGGAAGCCAGCAAGAGTTTTATAGGGTTTGAAGCTCCTTTTGCGATTTTTGGCATTGAATCATGTTCTCTGAAGTCTCCTCGAGCAATTACTTGTTTGCTCCTCACATCTACCATGTATTCTTTGATCCCTGCCATTTTTTAATCACAAAATATATTTAAAAAAACAATTTTTTTATAAGAATAAATGAATGGGTAAGCGCCTGTGGTGGGTGGCACTTTAGGAGCAGCCATGGAATAATTAACCCTAACGAATATTTCAATAACAACGAGCTATGTATTAATATATCGAACGTAATCTATTATTATATAAACATATAGAGATATACGTACGTCCATTGTATTTGAAGACCGTGTCAATCCCCTTGACGTTCATAGGCTTTTTCCATATATATATATATATACTATATGTTAGACATTCTCTAACATTTATATTATGGTCAATATCATAATCAATATATAGTGTAATTGATATTTAATGTGAATGATTATGATCAATAATTACAAATGGTCTAATATGTAAATATAGAAAAGTAAATTATATAACAACTTGACTAAGCTATTCGAAAGTTTGAAGAATTTTTTTTTTTACATTTTGAGTAGAAATTAGTTCACCTGTCATCTTGGAGACAATCTGAGAAACTCTGTGTTGGCACCGGCGGCATCCCACGTCTGCGTTGATCACTACAACTTGAAACTGAATTTGCCCTCGTTAATTTCCTCAGATTCATTTATATTAAAAAAATAAAACGTGGAAGAAAAAAGAACAATAACCGCGTGTAATTTAACGTAATGAAAAATCTAGAGGTTAAAAAAAAAGTTAGCTGTGTTTACGAAGAGAAATGAATTACATATATGGATTACAGATTTTAGAAAACGTGCGTAATTCTTGGCAGATCCTCTCTGCATGCCATCGATGATGTGTTTAGAATTAGAAACATTATATGTTTGGTCGGGGAGAGAGAGAGGGAGAGAGAGACCGATGGAAGGGAGAGTTGTTCGAAATGCATGAGGCTGCGCCGGCCCGACATCGCCGCCTGGTGAAGCAGAAACGGAGCTTGCGGGAGTAGATAGATAGATATATCTACAGATGCAACTATATATTTATATATGTATGTATAGATTTTTTTGTCTTTGATTAGTTTATTGTTTTGGATATATGTATGGGCCCTCCCCTCCATCTAATAATTTAGAATTAGCAAAAAGAATGTAGGATTTTGTATGTATATGCAAATGATGAGATGGAATTTGTTTTGTAATTTAATGGAGAATGCCATGATTACACGTTTCCTCCACAAACTTAACTTGGTTCATAAAAAAACAATTTATAAAACAAACCATGTCCCATATCATAATCAAGCATATGTGTTTTTTTTATGTTCCTGAAAATGTCAGAGATGTGACAAAGTGCACATAATAATAAGTACATGTTCAACCCATTTTTTTTAAAATAAAAAATAATATAATTTAGTTTGTTTTAGGGTCAATGCCATAACCAGTAAATGTGGAGAAATCAAAATTTAAGTAATATTCACATTTAACCCAAAAAAAAATCAAAGATATTTGACCCGTCTCACATGCCTCCCTTTAATGGCCGTGGGTTTCATGTTCTCCTTCCACCTACTTCCTTTTATTTTATTTTATTTTTGTCTCTTTTACCATTTGTTATGTAAAATACTGCAATTATCTATAAGCCAAAACCACCAATCAAATATTTTATTCAGAATTAAATTACCTAAGAAGCCAATTCAACTGATCGCGCCATGATTATTAGAAGAAGAAAAAAACAAGCGCACCATTTTTTTACACCACATTATATTTTCGTAATAATTTATAAAATGTAATGTATAGACAGATAAACATTCAAAGGTTCATATAATGCCCAATAAGATATGATTCCCTTTTATATCTACATGTGTGTGTGTGTGTATCGGAGAGTTTTCCGGATTTCGAAGCCTGACAACATGAAAACCCAACATTATCGACATTTAAAAGGCGAGATGAACCAGCATTTAAAAGGCTAATTTTTAGACTAGTCTAACGAGCCAACTCACCAAACCAACCTGTCATTTTTATTAAAATATTATTTATTTATTATTTTTCACCATATAAATAAAAACAATACAATATTCTTCTTTATCTCGCGAATCAATCATTTACTTTGTGAAATAGAAAAGTCGAATCGAGCTGAAGTTTTTTTTGTTCATTTGAAAACGAACCTAACGAATTGAACCCAAAACGAGTCTAACTTGTTTCGACCCAAACCGACTCGACTCGGTTTGACACGCTTGAACTCCTAGTGACAAAAAGCCTTGAAACAGGAAATGGAAGCAAACTCAGGAAAAACCTTATTAGATGCAATCTTTGTCAAAGCCACTGTTCTTTCTAAACACTGATGTGACGTGATATGGCAACAGAGTGGTTAATTAGTTCCTCTTGATCTTGGAGAATGCTCCCGTCTCCGAGAAGTACGTGCTCTGAGTTCCACTCCCTAGCTGGTTCATAAGTGCTTGCGGGTTCGACAGCTCGATTCCCTACAACGACAAGTCGGGGAAAAAGCTCACAACTTTCCAGACAGATAGGATAGATAGAACGGGCAATCGTTGATTATGGACGAGAATTCGCTAAATTTCTTATGCTACGGGACTCAAACGAATCTAAAGTACCAGATTTTCCAAAATAATAACACTAGTGTACCTACAAGGATGTTGCCGGTGAAAGAAACTGAGGATAAAGGAGTGTTACCTGGACAGGAGTGAAGGCCAAACTCGACGTCAAACCAGAGGTGGCACCACTGCTTCCATAACTCTTCTCCTTAAACCTGTAAAAGCCACATTTGATGATCACAACATATACAATTTGAAGACTGACATAAACCGGCATTTCAGTCAAAATGTTGACCAGAATGGATGTATGATTTGTAGACAATTTACCTTTTCGCCACTTTGGCAGAAAGCTTAAGTTTGCTGGGAACACTGGATACCCGCAGCTTGTTGCTCCCAGCTTGTCCAAGCATTCCGTAACCTTCCCCTAATCCGTCACCTAATCCATCCAGAGCTTATAGATAAGTTGCCTGATCGTAGCAATGTATATCATGAAACCGAGAGACACGAAATGATATTGACCCCTCGAACTATTAGAGATACAAAATTTTTACCTAGTGAGCTCTCTTCAGGCACACCGAATGCCATCCTGTTAGCTAGTTTCCTCATGTCTGTCACAGCATACCTAAGACAAAAAAAAATGAGTAAAGGGTAAGAACTCGGTTGGTAAATGCTACATGGCATAAAGAATAGGTGTGAAAACAGACCTTTCTTTCATCTTTCTTAGCCGGCGACCACCTCTTCGTTTTTTAGGCTCAGAATCAGGAACTGGAAGCGGCTTAGGTTGCTTAGCAGGAGGGGGTTCCTGCCACTTGTCAATCTTCTTACGAATCTCCTCCCTCAAGCCTCTTCCATTTGCCCCAGCCGGGTCTCCTCTAATCGCATCAACTCTTGCTGCCAATGTTGATTTTGAAGCCAAGAGCCTGCAGGCACGCATCCGAAGTGCAGGAGGAGTGCTTTGGAATACCTCTGTCTGCTCCAGGAAACCCACACGGAATTGAGACGTTGCAGTGGAGAATCCGGCAAGGTTCTTCTTCTTGTGGCCCAGAAGCTGAACATTACAGGCAGGCATTTTGGCGAGTGCTGACAACCCTCCAGCAGTCCCCATGAGTTTTGCTGCAACAGCACTTCCAACAATGGCAGAGAGATTTGGAGCAATGTATCCCATTCTACTTTCGACAAAGTCAAGAACCTTCTTCCTTGCAGAATCAAGGTCGAGAGCACGATCACATGCCTCTATGGTCTTCTGCAGTACATCCTCTGGAAGTGGCTTGCCGCTTGTGGTTGATGCGGTAACTGAAACAACCATAATGATAGCTGATGGAAGAAGACCTTCCAGATCAACAAGAGTTAAATCCACCTCATTCCCAATCTTTTTTACAACACGAGCATAGTCAATTGGATGATGTACCAGCGATTCAAGCTCTGGGAATTTCAGTCTGTACTTGTCGCGGATGAAATTGTGGATGATGACAATCTCATTTTCAATATCAACTGAAAGCTGATTGCAATCAACAATTAGCCGGTATTCAGGATCGTCTTCCAGAACAGCATATTCCAAGTGGCATCTCGACTGCACTTAGGCGATTTCTGAAATCCAAAAAAGAACATTAGTAAGATCCTAAACCCTAATCAGCGCCAATAAAATTTCGCCAAAGAGTAGTGCACGGAAAAGTGACCCAAATACATCGACGGTGACCCATGCTTATACATTGGGAACCAAGGGGAAATTTTCAATGTGTTACTGGAAATCGACATCATATGAAAGAATTCAAGAATTATTCAAAAAACAAAGAAATAACTCTCAGGAACACGCATATATGAGTAGACACGCGTAAATCAGGATCCAAGAAATATAGAGATTTCAAAGTTCACAATGAAGCTGATCAGAAAATGACAAGACAGAAAAGGGCACATAGGCTAACCGACCTGCATTATATCAGCATATCTCTGGGTTTTCTGAAGTTTGGAAACACTATCAAGATCATCATAGTTAAGGGCCTCTAAGTCCGCCATGTCTGTATCGGTATCTTGTTCCTCATTTCCAGCATCAGCATCATTCTCCTCCTGGTAAAAGCAGTTGAACATATTCTATGTAAATCTAAACTCCTCCAAAGAAAGCTACGATTGAATTATTTGGAAACAAACAAGAAATACTCACCATTTCAGCTTCATTGTCGGATAAATCCTCAAGGTCCGCAAGGAAAGAATCTTCAAGAGTTGTCTGCAGTAGGTCCAAAAATCGCTTAATAAGAGCAAGCTTCTGAAAGAGGTTCGTAACATACATCAGTAGCTCCCTGTCTAAAAGACATGCCAAGACAAGCCTGCGGAAAGAATCCTTTCCAAAGTTTCAAAGACACAGGCGCCACATGATGAACAAAACAAGCAAGCAGGGATGCCTTGCTCTCTTCTTACATTCTATTAAAAAGAAGCGAATGGTAATGCATCAGCCAACGAACCCTGATATCAAACTCAAGACAGCGAAGAACACTAAGAAGATAACTCAATCAAAACAAACATGAAATCCTAAACAAATTTAAGTAAGAACCAACAAGATCCTACATGCAAGCGAGTGATATCAAAATAGGAGTCTAGGAGAGAATCAAATGTCAATACCAGTTTCGTATTTTAGGTAATCCTTCCACATAAAACACTACGAATCGACACACAGGAGAAATACAACAAGCACGAATTATTCGAGGAATCAAAACACGTAACACTGAAAAAAAACAACAGATAATACAAAGGCAAAAAAACAATTTAATCAAACAAGCAACGATTAACAAAAAAGGGTTGACGAAGAACTCACCATATTTTTTAGTTCGAGTACAGAAATTCACGGATCTTCCTGC